AGACCCTTCATCAGAAAAGGTGCTTTTCTGATGAAGGGTCTAGGCCCGAAACGTCAGCCTCTCTGCTCCTATGATGCTGCTTGGCCTGCTGTGTTCATCCAGCCCTGCACCTTGTTGTCTCATGCCACTCCATGAGATTGTTTTAACCAATTTGTTTAGTTTCTGATTTCCAGCATCCACAGTTCTTCTGGTTTTTAACAATTAAATTTGGTTTTGAAAATATGACACCAAGTGAAAACAGAACAATTTATTTTATTACAATCAGCTTGACAAATGCATTAATTTCTGTTAAAGCAAAAAAAGCTTGTCAGACAGCTTTGGCATGCTTTATAACTATTAACTTGTGTGGAGATATAGTAAGATTCATGATACAGACTTCATGCATCCAGGTCAGCCAAATTGTGTAGCCTCATGTGTTGACAAAATCTAGTTTTAAAATGTCACCTTGCTGTTTTTCAACTTTCATTCCTAAAAGGAGCATTGTCAGAGATACATACCAAGTATTCTGTTCCTGCTTTAATAGTTAAAGTTCCATTCTAGTGAGCCAGAAAACATGAATAACACTCAAATATTCAAAAAATGGCTTTGTATTTTAAAGTCATACAAGGGGACTTGATTTGCACCTTACATAACTCACAGCTGTCACAGGATCAATGGATAGGTTTGTTTTACTGATGGACGTCAACTTAAAAAAAAAAAAATCAGACAATGAAAGATTGATAACAGGGCACATTTTTTGAAAACATTTGAGAAATATTCCCATCTTAAAACAACCGTAATGTTTTGAGTTTATTCCTTCCTGCTGATTAGAATATTAGAATTTAAAGAAAAATATGGTGGTAGCTTTGTGTGACAGTTCAGGTCAAATGAAACAGAATGCTCAATTTAAGATGCAAGAATGTTTTCAAAATAAATACGTAAAGCCAGCGACATCAACAGAATTACTTCTTCTTCTTCTTCTTGTTCTTCTTGCCACCTTCCCCTGGTTGTGCGTTCTGATCTCCTCCTCCAGCCTTCTGCGTCCTCGTCTTCAGTTTTGGAATCATTTCTGCCACATATAACATTATTGACTTTCCTGTGTGAGGAGACAGAAAGCAGATCTTCTTTACAAATTTAGCAGTGATTTTGAATTAGTTCATCAGTTTAGACTTCTGTTTGCAGACTCAGCATAGAAACCTCTGGAGACAAAATAGAGTTTTGAGCCTCTGTTCTCCTCTAGCCCAATGAGCTGTTCTTTTCTTGACTCAACAAAAAGTGGTCACTTGAAACTAACCATGAGGCATGGGAGAAGTAGTAGGCCACTCAGCCCTTGCATTCAATAAGATCATGACTGATTTGAATCCTCAGCTCCATTTTCTCCATAATCCCCGATTCCCTTAACATAAAAAATTTGTCCATCTCAACCTTGAATATACATAACGACGCAGCCTTGACAGCCCTGTGATAAAGAATTTCACAGATTCACTACCGTCAGAAGTAACTCCTCCTTATCTCTGTCTTAATGTATGACCCTTTATTCTGAGATTGTGCCATCTGATCTCAGACTCTCCCAAATCTTGGGTGCCTCAAGATAATGGAGGGAAGGCATTAATGATGAAATTCAACATTGTCTACTATGTGCCAGTGCAGCCTTTGGTCACTTAAGAAACAAAACGTTTGATGACAAAGAACCTAAACATGTCTTCAAGCTCATGGTCTATAGGACAGCCGTGTTACTTGTCCTCCTGAATGCACTGGAGACGTGGACAATGTAAACAGACACTTCACATCCCTTGAAATATCACCAGCGATGCCTTCACAAAATCCTGCACATCTGCTGGCAGGATAAATGCTCCATATAAGTACCCTCTTTCAGGACAACATCCCTAGCAAAAGGCACTGGTAACGGTCAATTAGCTCCTTTAGGCAGAACACACATGCCAACACAGGACTCCCAAAACAAACTCTACTCCAAGCTTCATCATGTTGCATTGTTACCAAGAGGGCAAAGGAAATATTTCATGGACATTCTCAAACGCTCCTTGGAAAATGCAATAACCCCACCAGGAGTGGGAATCTCATGCTCAAGAGCTGTGAAACTAGAAAAAAAAAGCAATGGCGAAGGTGTCCCTCATTTTGAGCATTGCTTGCAGTCCGTGGTAGAGGTCAAACACAATTATCCACAAGAAGCATGTGGAAACCCAAGCATCCCACCCATTTGCCTTTTCAAACAGCATTTGTGGCAGGGTGTGAGGATCCAGCATTGGATGGTGGTCATCTCAGGACCCACAATTCTGGATGGGAAGAAAGTCATCCTTGATCCCAAGGGACTACATGGGAGGAATGAGCCCACACATCAATACAAATACAGAACATATTGTTGCGACTGTACCACCTAATAAATCAGCAAGTGAGAACGAAAAAAAATCCCTGAAAAACAGTGATCCTACAGAAAATCTCAAGATGTTCCTTCAAAACAAAAGTGCCCTGCTTCCTACACAGAGTCAGAGTTATATAGCACGGAAACCATCCCCTCGGTCTAACTCATCCATGGCGACCAGATATCCTAAATTAATCTAGTCCCATTTGCCAGCATTTGGCCCAAATCCCTCTTAAACCCTTCCTAATCAAATACCTATCCAGATGTCTCCTAAATCTTGTAATTGTACCAGCCTCCACCACTTCCTCTGGCAGCTCATTCCATACGCGCACCATCCTCTGCCTGAAAACGTTGCCCCTTTGGTCCCTTTTAAATCTTTCCATTCTCACCTTAAACCTCTAGTTTTGGACTCCCCTTCCCTGGGAAAAGGACCTTGGCTATTCACCCTATCCATGCCCCTCATGATTTTATGAACTTCTAGAAGGTCACCCCTCAAGTCTCTGGTGCTCCAGGGAAAATAGCCCCAGCCTATTCAGCCTCTCCCTATAGCTCAAACCCTCCAACCCTGGCAACATTCTTGTAAATCTTTTCAGAACCCTTTCAAGTTTCACAACATCTTTCCTATAGCAGGGAGACCAGCACTGAATACAATATTCCAAAAATGGCCTAACCAATGTCCTGCCACAACATGACCTCCCAACTCCTATAGTTGATGCACTGACCAATAAAGGCAAGCGTACCAAACGCCTTCTTCACCAATCTGTCTACCTGCAACTCCACTTTGAAGGAACTATGTACCTGCACTCTAAGGTCCCTTTGTTTGGCAACACTCCCCAGGACCTTACCATTAAGTGTGTAAGTCTGCTCTGATCTGCTTTTGCAAAATGCAGCACCTCATATTTATCTAAATTAAACTCCATCTGCCACTCTACGGCCCATTGGCCCATCTGATCAAGGTCCCATTGTACTCTGAGGTAACCTTCTTTGCTGTCTACTACATCACCAATTTTGGTGTCATCAGCAAACTTACTAACTAAACCTCCTATATTCCCATCCAAATCATTTATATAAACGACAAAAAGCAGCGGACCCAGTACCGATCCTTGCGGCACACCACTGGTCACAGGCCTAGATAGTAAGAACTGCAGATGCTGGAGTCAGAGATAACACACATTTTGGGTCTAGACCCTTCTTCAGATAAAGGGTCCCCACCTGAAATATCAACTTTCCTGCTCCTCTGATGCTGCCTGGCCTGCTGTGTTCTTCCAGCTCCATACTAGTCACAGGCCTCTAGCTTTAAACTTTCTTCCCCGTTCTCAAGGTTCCAAGCTAAACAGTCAAAAATAAGTGCTTGCAAAGTGAAGTTAGTCAGATTATCCAGTGTCTTCAATTGGCTAACCTCCTTTATTTACAAACTAGAAGGTAGATTTTGCTGCCTGATTAAAAACTCAGCCAGTGGAATCAGGCAGGCTGTGAAGTGCAGAGATTGCAATTGAAGTAAAATCCATAACATTAGGGTGGATAGGAGGTTAAAAGAAACAGAAATAAAGTATTATAGGGACACAGTGAATTACAAAGGCTGCTCACATGGTGCGTAAACGTGAATACAGACCAAACATCCTGTCTCCATATTGTAATTTTTATAAGTGCAATGTCACAGGCTGGCGATAAAACAACAATTGGTATCAAAAGACAAGAGGTTTCCGTTTTAAATAAATACAACTCAGCACTTGGACATGTTGTAAAGTCATGGCTGATGTCCAAATAAGCAAAGTTACCAGTAGGCAAGTGTACATAAATGAACAGAACCTTCACACAAACTGACTCCTGTACAACTGGATACATGGAATTCACTGATTTATGGCCTTTGATGTTTTTGCAGCAAATTGAAAAGTCAGTTTCTTACGCACCTCAAGTAACATTCTATAACTAATAGAGATAATTTAAGCAAAATAAATCTGTTACTGGTCAATGCAACCGAACATGGTCTTGAAAACTAATTTTTACCCAAAAGTTTGGAATCGTGTCATGGATGGCATAGTGAGGTGGTGATCAGAACCAAGGAACCTGTGCCAGCTTTTTGACAGAGCTATTTAATTAGTCCCATGCTCTTTCTCATTTCAAACACTATCATTCCAGCAAATCTCTTCCGAGCTCTTGACATCTATCCCAAAACATTGCACTCAGAATTGAACAAGGTACTCCAGCCGAGATCAAACCAGTCTTTTAGGAAGTACAGTTTAACTTCCTTCCCTTCACATTCTAAGGCAGTCAAGGATCCCATTTGCTTTCTAAACAAAAAAGGCTTCTCAATTTGTCCTGTCACCTTCAAACATTCGCGTACATACATTCAAGTATCTCTATTACAGCAACCCTTTTAAAGGGGAATTGTAACATTTTGTTTATATTACTTTATTCTCATTTTCCCTGCCTATATGTACACATCATATATTACTTCAAAGTCATGCTGAATTTCATCTGCCATTTCAGCACCCTAAGTTTTACTGAATTCTGTTACCACTAATATTCACTACATTTTCAAGCTGATGTCATCTGCAAACTTTGAAATGATGCCCTCATCTCAGATTGTTGTTAATAGCCCTTAGAGATCCCAACTTCTGAAGAATTTCATTGTTTACTTCTTTCCAGCATGAAATATAACTACATTATTACTTATGTCCTCAGTCTCTTAGCCTTTTTATTACCTTCAGCTTTAACTTGGCTAAAAAAAAAGTCTGTTAAGTGATACTTTGTCAAACACCTTAATCAATCTTTAGGTTAATTTTATGTTAATATATTTCTGTTTTTAAATCAGTAAAAACCTAACAGTGGAACCTATCTACTTGCTTTGAAAAAGTGAAGTGCATAGGATTATAGCCATTTTCCAGGAAAAATAAAAATCAGCCCATGCACAGGCACGGTGTGCAGTTAACAGACCACTGTATATGTTTTGCAGATGTGATTACTTACGTGTGGGAAACTGTTCTAAACAGAAGGACCCATCTGCATTTTTCAGTTGAACTCTTATTCTACCTCTGAATTGTACATCTCTGTTCCACTCGCGTGGGTACAGTTTATTCTGAAAAACAGTATAAATTCTATATTAATAGAATGTGAGTAAAACACCAGAAATCTTAAATATTCAGCAAAATATTAAACACAAATACCTCTACAGCCACAACCAGTCCAGCTGCTGCACAAACATCTCGAATTTCTCCAAAAGTTGGGTTTTCAACAGCCTTTTGTAGAAAAGAAAATATCAATGACAAAACAGCTTCTACAGATGTTGCATGTTTTGTGCAAAGCCTGTCCTTATGCACTTCACAGAGCAACTGCATGGAATACTGAAAATTGATACCAAGAATGGTTACACAAGAAAATCAGAAGTTTTACGAAAGAAATGGACCTTCAGGAGATTTGTTAACATTTGATGGGAGCAGGAAGAGATTGAGGTAGCAAATTCCAGCAGCTAGGAACAAGTAGCAAAAGGTCCTGCAACTAATGAAGGGTCTGGAGATATCTAATATCACAAAGTTAATGGAAGGGTTTGGTGTCAGTTGTACACAATCTCTAAGCTAATCCTAAGCTGGACCAGCCTGTACTGATACCAATAATTCAGGGAGAAAGTGAAACTATTGCTCAAATTAATGGGAAACTGCTCAGCAAGTCAGCCAATTTTGGAGGAACTGAAATAAAGAGTAATGTTTCGGCTTGATGACTCCATTGGAACAGCAATTGCAATAAATAATAACATCCTATTTGTGTTCCTAATTATTTGCTCTACCTACATACTAGCATTTTTCTACATCCACAGCAAAACCCTCTGCATTTCAGAGCTCTGTAATATTTCACCATGTAGATAATAGCTTCTTTTTTATTCTTCCTGCCAAAATGGGCAACTTTATATTTTCCCAAAATTGTAGTTCATTTACTAATTTCATGTCATTTTGTGTTCCATCCAAAACTTCAACACTTCCTCCTTCCTTTCATATGTAAAGGATCAGAAACTCCTGTAATTCATGGGTGCCTACATCCCTAGAGAGTTTCCTCTCTCTTTACTTCCCTCTGCCTTTCTTCTAAGCCCAAGCCTTGCCAATTTTGCAATGTAAAAATAATCAGCATGATCTATCTGCACACATGCAGATGTGCTAGCTTGCAAAGAAATTTATTGACTAAGTATGTGATGCTGCACTTTCCCAGATCTTACAACTAGTTCAAAATTTAATCTAAAATATTATTGCAGTCTGATTATTCTTTACCTGCGTGAAATAAATTTTCGTGCCATAGGTACACTCATTTTTACTACCTTCAGCAAGGTGTAACTCTTCACCTTTCACACTCATGGCCTGCAACACTCTACACATCAAGGGGCATTGCCCTTAAACACAGCCATTCACAAAATTCTCAACCTTGCAGTATTTTCCAGCAGTTTCTGTTTTTATTTCCAACATCCACAGTGCTTTGCTTTTATGTTGGAATTGATGTGATTGCACCATGAATACAAGCATGCAAAGGCAATCGCACAGAGCTGGACAATGAAGAGCCACTAAAAATCTACATGGTTGAAGCCAGTGAACCGATAAGAATAATCTGAGCAAAGGAAGTCAAGTTTAAAACTAAAATCACTCAGGATGAGAAGCTGCTTCCTCTATAGGCTAGAGAAGAGACTGAGAAAATTTCTGAGATGGAAGCCAGTGAGTGACTTGAGCAGTGCTAGATAAAATTGGAGAATAAGATCATCAAAGGAGAAGAGGAGCAGAGGAGTGTGTCAGAGTCAGAGGTCTGCAGCATAGAAAAAGGCCCTTCGGCCCATCGAGTCTGCGCCAGTTAAAACCAACCACCTAATTATTCTAATCCTATTTTCCAGCACTTGGCCCATATCCTTGTATGCCTTTGGCATTGCAAGTACACAGTTAAATAGTCCTGAAATGTTACGGGTATTTCGGCCTCTAGCACGCTTACGGACAATGAGTTCCAGATTCCCGCCATACTTTGCATGAAAAAAAACCTCACATCCCCTCTAAACCTCCTGCCCCTTACCTTAAATCTACAGCACCCAGTCACTGATCCCTCCACCAAAGGGAAACATTTCTTCCAGTCCCGTGTCCCTCAATTTTATACATCTCAATCACGTGCCCCCTCCTCTCCTCTGCTCCAAAGAAAACAACCCCAGTTTATCCAATCTCTTTCCAGTCCAGTCAACATCTTCGTAAATCTCCTCTGCACCCTCTGCAGTGCTATCCCATAACGCGGATTCCAGAACGATACACAATTCTCTAGCTGTGGTCTAACCACCTTTTTACATAGTTCCACCATCACTTCCCATTCTTTAACTCTATGCCTTGGCTAACAGAGGCAAGTATCCCATAAGCCTTCTTAACCACTTTATCTATCTGTCCTACTACCTTAAGGAACTGTTAGGCATGTGCACCAAGGTCCCTTTGATCCTCAGTACTTCCCCGGATAATACAGTTCATCATGTATTCCCTTGCTTTATTTGTCCCACCCAAGAGCATCCTCTCACACTCATCTGTACTGAATTTAATTTGCTGTTGATCAACCCATGTGACCAGCCTGTCTACATCCACCTGTAATCTAAGGTTATCCTCCTCACTATTTACCACTCCATCAATTTTTGTATTACCTGCAAGTTTGCTGATTAATCCTTCTACGCTCAAGTCTAAACAACAAGAGCCCTAACAGCGATCCTTGCAGAACTCTACTAAATACTGACTTCTTGTCACAAAAATACTCCTTGACCATCACCCTCTGCTTCCTGCCACTCAACCAATTCTAGACCCAATTCGCCAATTTTATTTGGAACCCATGGGCCTTCACGATCAGTCTCCCATGCAGAACCATAAGAAATAGAACAGGTGTAAGCCGTTTAGCCCCAAATCTGATCCACCATTCAATAAGATCATGGCTGAGCTGACATTCCTCATGTCCACTTTCCTGCATTTCCCCATAGCATTTAATTGCCTGATTGATTAATTGAATCTATCAATTAATCAATCTAAATCTTGAATATACACAAAGACTTTATAGAGGTTTATAAAGCCATGAGGGGCATGGATGGGGTAAATAGCCAAGGACCTGAGGGGTAACTTTTTCATGCAGAGAATGGTGCGTGTATGGAATGAGCTGCTTCGTGATGGAGGCGGATACAATTACAACATTTAAAAGGCATCTGGATGGCTATATGAATAGGAAGGGTTTAGAGGGATTTGGGCCAAATGCTGGCAAATGGGACCAGGTCAGATTGGGATGTCTGGTCGGCATGGATGAGTTGAACCGAAGAGTCTGTTACCATGCTGTATAATTTATGGCTCTGCTGCCACGGATCTCTGTAGGAACAAGTCCCAAAGACTCATAACCCTCCTCCTCATCTGTCTTAAAATTGGTGCCTTTATTCGGAGACAATGCCCTCTGGTCCTAGACTCTTCCATGACAGGAAACATGCTCTCATATTTATCCTGTCAAGCCCCTTAAGAATCCTATATGTTTTAATAAGAACACCTCTCATTCTTCTAAACTCCAGTGAATAGAGTCCCACCTGATTAGCCTTTGCTCGCAAGACCATTAGTCAATCCCAGGAATCATCCTAGTACGAAGGTATGAACTGTCTCTTTTCTTAAATAAGGGGATTAAAACTGCTCACAGTACTCCAGCTGTGGTCTGAGTAACACCTTATACAGTTACTATAAAGACTTTCCAGTTTTGAAGAAGAGTCACTGAATCTGGAATGTTAACTCTGCTTTCTCTTCACAGATGCTGTCAGATTTGTGGAGTTTTCACAACAATTCCCATTGTTGTGTCAGTAAAACTTTCCTACCTCTTACGTTCTAACCTGATCAAAAGCCTTGCCGGATTCCAAGTAGACTACATCGAATGCATTGTCCTTATCTACACACCTGGTCATCTCTTCAAAAAATTCAGGTCTGTCAGACATGACTCCCCTTAACAAAACTGTGCTGACTATTCTTGATTAATCCCTGCCTCCCCAAGTGCAGATTAATTGTGTCTCTCCGAATTGCTTCCAAAATTTACGTCCCCGCTGAGGTTAGATTGACGGGCCTTAGTTTTTTGATTTATTTCTTGATCTCTTCTCGAATAATGAAATTGTCATCCAACACCTCTCCTGTGGCTAGGAAGGAAGTGAAAATTATTGTCAGCATACCTGCTATGTCCTCCCTTGTCTCACTCAACATCCTGGGATACTTTTCATCTGGCCCTCAGGATTTATCTATTTTTAAGCCTGCCAGACTACTCAGAACCTCCTCTCTGCCTATGTTAACGTTTTCACGTATATCACAGCCCTTCTCTCTGAATTCTATACTCTCAACGTCCCTCTCATGAGTGAACATCAAAGCAAAGTGCTCATTTAGAAACCTAACCACATCCTCTGGCTCCAGGCACAAATAAATTATCATGATGGTCCTTAATGGGCCCTACTCTTTCCCTAGTTGTCCTTTTATCCTAACGTACTTGTAAAATAACTTAGGACTTTCCTTTACCTATTATTCTTTCATGCCCCCTTTTCACTCTCAATTTCCTTTTTAAGTGACCCCTTGCACATTCTGTACTTTTGTAGGGTTTCTGTGTTTTGAGCCTTCAGTATCTGCCATAAGTGCCCCTTTTTCTCTTTATTCAATCCCATCTCTCCCTTGATACCAGGGTTCACAGGATTTGTTGGTCCCACTCTTTACCTTTATTGGAACAAGTTGGCCCTTGTTCCTGCCTGAATGTGTCCTACCACTCTGACACAAATTTAACTAAAAGTATCTGCTCCCAGTCCACTCTGGCCATTTCATACCTGATCTTAGTAAAAATCAGCTTTCACCCAGTTTAGAACTTGGATTTCAGGCCCATTCTTATCCTTTTCCATAACAATCTTGTAACTAAGAGTTATAATCACTGTCTGTAAAATGCTCCCCCACTGATAATTCAACCACTTGCCTGACTTCATTATTTAAAATTAAGTCCAGGACCACTCCCTCTCTTGTAGGGGACTGTTAGTAGCTAACAATGGGTTGGGTGTACAGTAATAGCAACTATGTGATAACAAGTCCCGGTGTTAGGGTAAGGACATCCCATTGTTAGCCATTAATACCTATTCACCCTCCAAGCCATATTATTAAACACTCCTTTGTCTGTCCAATTGTTCTCCTCTCTCTTTGAGCTCTATCTCTATCTATAGTTTACTCCTTACCCCTCCCCCAAGCCTATCTTCTGCATAAAAACCAACATTTTCCCAGATACCATCAATTCTGAGAAAGGATCAGTTGACCCAAAACTTTAACTCTGATTTCTCTCCACAGATGCTGCCAGACCTGCTGAGCCTTTCCAGCAATCTGTGTTTTCAACTCCCTTCCTGTCTGTTCTAATTTTGGCTATTCATCTCCCCTGCCGAATCTTCTCTCCGTATCCCACCTCCTTGCCAAGTTAGTCTAAGAGACCAAGGTGCAACATGGAGATAAGGGCCATGGTGCAGACATTATTGTTGAGACTTCATCTTCAGAACACATTCATCGATCAGAGTGTAACTTTTTTTTAGAAATAAGGAATCTTCCTTAGTTTCTCACCTTTTCGATTGGTATCCGCCTTCCTTCTGCTATAGTCTTTTTACTATTTATGTATGCTGGATATATGCAAATAAACCTTCAAAGACAAAAAAAGCTTGATTTATGTTTTGAACCCACCACAAAAAGATTTTTCTAAGTTATTAAAAATCATCCCTTTAAGAAATTTATTCTGCTGTAAACAAAATGAAATTAACTCCTCTCCTTTTAACAATCATTTGCTACATTGATTTTAACTTATTTTCACCATAAAGGTCTGGATTATTTTGATCAAAGCATTTTTTTAATAATTCTTGTGGGATGTGGGCATTGCTATCTGGCCAGCATTTATTCCCCATCCCTAGTTGTGAAGGAATGCCGATAATATTTCCAAGTCACCCGATCATCAGCAAACATCTCCACTTCTGACCTTATGATGGAGGAAAGATCGTTGATGAAATCACAGAAGGTTGGGCCTAGGTCACTACCTTGAGGAACTCCTACAGAGATGTCCCAGAACAGAGATGACTGACTTCCAACAGCAACAACCATTTCCCTATGTGTCAGGTATGACACCAACCAACAGAGTCTGCCCCTGATACCCAATAATTCCAGTTTTTCTAGGGTTCCTGGATACCACACTCCATTGAATGTGGCCTTGATGTCATATCACCTCATTCTAGAATTCAGCTCATGTTCAGCAGCATGTTTGAACCAAGGCTGTAATGATGTGAGGAGTGAATGACCCTGGCAGAACCCAAATTGGGCATCACTGTTCAGGTGCTTGATAGCATTGTTGATGACACCGCCAGCACTTTGTAGATTTGGTCTTTTAAAAGCAAAAATATAATTTCAACATTGAAGTGTTTCTGTTAAATAGTTTTTTTTTAAGAAAAGAAAGCCTTCATACGCTGTCAGCTATTGATAGTCACCTGTTTTTTCGAAAAAAAGGGATTTCAGATAACACATGTAAGATATTCCCGGTTTTTGCAGTTGCTCAGCACTTTACAGTTTCTCAGACATCTGGATGTGCAATAGATATCAACTAAAGATGTAAAGCGAGGCCTTGTTCGTAAAATTAGATAGACGGTGACAGCGTGAAACCATGATAATGGTCACTGGATGTCTTTATCCCCCACCCCATAAGAAATCTCAACCAACACCGATGTCTATGTCAGGCTCAGCATCTCCAAATCAGTCCGCGCTATGTCCGACCTAGCAGCCAGTAGACGAGAGGGTTGGGCTGGGCTGGGCTGGGCTGGGCTGCCCCTAGAGGGAGCACGCTGCCAGCCGTCGGTACTTCACAGAGGAACAGCGTGCGCATGGCCACCAGCCTCGTCACTGGGCAACGCCAGTCCGCTGCATGACGACACAACGGAGCGGGTTCCAGGGTTCCGGAATAGAACGCTCGGACATTTCGATACAAAAATCACAAAAGTACCCGGATCATTCCAAACTTCACCGCTTTAAAAAGCAGAGGCTCCGCCAGCTCCTACCTCTCCTTATCAGCGTGAGTTTTGTCCATATACACCATATCGCTTCACACCACTTCCCGCTGAGTCAGCCAAGAGCAAACCAGAAGTTCTCCCTCTGAGATACTCCCTCTGCACTGCGCTGACTAACTCCTACTGGATACTGGGGCTTTCAATCTAAACAACTTCCGCTTTCCACCTGGCAATGAAATTCTGGTCCGTCCAGTTCACATTTCCCCCGTTCACATTTCACCTTTAAGTAAGGGAGAGGGAAGGAATCATCTAAAGCAGACAACAGTTTTTAAAAAAAATTGTTTAAACAAAACACAAAGGACTGCCGATGCTGGAAATCAGAAACAAACGGAAATTGGTTGAGAAACGTAGCACGTCTGGCACCAGCTGTGGAGAGAAAGCAGAGTTAAAGTTTCTGGTCTAGTGACCCTTTCTTCAGAATTTAAAAGTAACACTTACTAAAACTAAAGCAAGAAGTTAGGCGACAGGGCATGAAAGAGGCCATTCGGCGTGTCTGATCTGTGCCTGCTCCAAAGCAGTTCAGTCACATTCTGCCTGAATGTATTTGCTTCTTTTGCTGATCACGTTAAATTGGTGTCCTCTGTTCTAAATCTTCTTTTGTCAACGGGAACAATTTCTCCCTATCTACTTTTTGGAGACTTCTCACGACTTTGAACACCTCTATAACCTTCTAAAAGAATTTCACCAATCTACCCCCATAACAAGCAGCTCCTCTAATGCTGCTTGGCCTGCTGTGTTCATCCAGCTCTACATCTTGTTATCCCTCATCCCTGGACCCATTCTCATTTCTGAGGTGTAATGCCTGGAACAGGTTGGAATAGACTAGTTGAATCTGAACGAGTGTTTTACACAGGCATATCATCATAACTTCAAAAAGTGCATATTTAAAAAGAGTGACACCAGCTTTAGAGAAAAAAGTTAATGTTTCAAATATAATTTATGAACCTTCTGGCTCTTAGTTAATCACAATTAGTTATGTCTTCAGCAACAGGAGTAATTTTCTCCATATTTACTTCATCAAACCGGTCATGATTCTGAAAACCTATTAAACCTCTTGACCTCTGTTGGAAGGACAACAATGGCAGCTTCTCTAGTTTCTTCACATAACTGAGGCCACTTCATCTCTGGTACCTAGTAAATCTCTTCTGTAACCTCTTTAAGGTCTTGATATCCTTCCTAAAGCATGAGGCCAGATTTTCTGAGGAGTGGCAATCTCACACAGATTCCCAGTCCAGCCCTTTTTCATGAAAGAAGGGAGCTCCGCGTTTCTGAGAGGAGATTCTGATCAGAGCGCTCTCATACTTCCACCCTGACAACTCTTTCGTAACATAGCAATCAGCTGTCACATTTTTAAACAGCAGCTGTCAAATTATAATGTAAGTGAGATGTTAAAGTGCTGGAAGACTGGGTTTCAGATAGATAGGGAGAGAGGGTGCCAAATGGATAGGGTTCCACGTTAGCAGGGTGCCAGCTGCAGAGGGGAGGTAAAGTGGCAGGGGTAGGATGGCAGGTGAGTAGATGGTAGGGTGCCAGGTGGGTAGGATGCCAGTTAAGTAGTGTGGCAGGTGGGGAGAGGGAAAGATACCAGGTAGGTAGGATGGTAGTTGGGATGGGAGTGGAGTGCAAAGTAAGTGATGCAGTGTTTAAGGTAGGTCAGGGTGGATTAGAGAAAACAGATCTGATAGAGGGTGGGAAAGTTTGGTGTTGGGTCTGGGTGGATTTGGGTTCAGTGGTAGTTGCGGGGGTGGACTTGGGTCAGGCTCGGTGGCAGGGTGTTGGGCTAAGTTCTGGGGTCATTGGAATTGTTCTGATGGAGATGTAGTTGGGTATGTGAGGTAAATATAGAATCGGTTTAATAGTAACTCAGTTAGATTATGCATTTAATAGCCTAACTTTTCCTGAGTAATTGGTTTACATAATTTCATCAGAACTCTCCAAAGTTCCTGATTTAATTGGAGACTTTAGGAGAGTTCAAAGCATACTGGAATTGCTCAGCGGAAAATTCAGTCTCCCAGACAATTCCTTCAGAGTGTGCTGCAATGGGGTTTCCACAAGGTTTCCAGGAGTAACTCCTATCAAGGCCAGAATAACGACTACCTAGCCATCGGAAAATCCAGGCCAATGTGTCCAGAAATGAACACAATATTCCACCTGAGGTCTTCTTTAGATCTGAATGTATTGGGCAATCTTCCTTAAAAAGCCTTAAAAAATTTCTCTCAAAGATGCAGGTCGACTTTTATAACGAGTATAAAAGTGAACTGTGGTTTTGGATGATTACTGTATTTGTCATTTGCCATCTGGGGTTTACTTTGTGTAGAGATAGTGGGGACTGCCGATGCTGGAGTCTGGAGGGAGGAGGGTAACTTCTTCAAGGTAGGCATCCTTAGAAGAGGCTTCGCAGTGGGGTTAAAATTGATTAAGAGATAGTGGGGACTGCCGATGCTGGAGCTGAAGGGTCTTGACCCGAAACGTCAGCTTTCCTGCTCCTCTGATGCTGCTTGGCCTGCTGTGTTCATCCAGCTCTACACCTTGTTATCTCTTTGCTTTGTGTAGGCTGGTCTTAAACTCGCACACATCTTCACAACACAGTTCATATTGTCTGCTTGATCCTTTACACACTGTTTATAAGGTACTGATAAGAAAAACACCAATTTGACAGTGAGTGAAAAATTGATGCTGACTACCAATGCGAGTATAACTTGTAGGTGAAAAGGGAATTGACTTATGATTTATAGAGTGTATGCAAAAACATGATTTTTGGAATCACAAAACAAGTTTGTCCTACATGCCAAGTTGATTTGTACACCATAATCTACTGCAATTAGTGTTTATAAAGGCTTAGCTTGACTTACTTACTTTTGTACCCTAGGCCTCTGTTTAAGAAAAAGCCAAGGATGTTTTTAATAGGATCCTCAGAATGATCTGTCACTTTGAAGATTTATCTTTACAAAGAATATAAGAATTGAAAATACCTTTATGGCATTCACCTGCATCAAATATCCTTGTCTACCAGAAAGCAAGCATCTAAATTCTCAGCAGATCTCAGGTCATGATTGGTTTTGCCACTAAAAACCTGAAGACTCCTGGACAAGTTAAGTTGTATTCTTGAATTTAATCCATGTATTAGTGAGTAAATAAAGGATTGCTGTGCTATATAACGTATTTCTATAAAGGTAGATTCAAGTTCATGAATCCACTCCAACACAAAATGTGAGAGTTATGAATGTCATAACTAATTCCAATAGTGGCCAATATTTGTCTCTTAACTTCAAAAGCACTTTATTAGCTCTAAAATGTTTTGGCACATCCTGAGGTTGTGCAGGTCTCTCTCTTTTGTTGTGTATATTGTTCCTGAGCTTCTTTGCCTAAAGCGGAGTAGTCCAGATGAACATATACTGTATCTTAGGTGAATGCAGCTGCAAGTTCAGATGCATTATTGTTCCATATTTGGTATTTTTAAGCAGTCACAGATCTCATTCCAATTTGATAATATTGTTATTTATGGATTCCTGTTGTTTTTGGGGGGGATCAAAAGAAGGACAGGCAGTGTAATGTGATTGTTTGGGAGACCATTCTGTTTATACACAACATTGGTTTGGTGATACAGCAGATTCCAATCCACAATTCCTTAAAATTGTGCTGTTCAATGCTATTTGTAAGCCCATATTTGGTATTAGGGACATATTTGCTGTTTATGCCGTGTAGGAATGTGATAATGTAACTGGCCAGTCTTGGTAATACTGAGATAAGACCCTGACCGTAGTAAATGGAGGGATCATTGTAATGTGTGCAAGGTGCAACGTGGACTGTTTTTTTCCTGTCTGTGTTTGCATTTATACTAACCAGGTGATGGAGAATTTCTTCTACAGTTCAATAATTTGGGGACATACTATTTCTCTATGAGATTTGGATCTTTAGCATTAATCTTAGCATCTGCTGTAATTTTATTATATATTAAAATTGTGTGTGGCTACTAAAGGCACTGAGCGCAAAGGCATTGTAGTGCTTGGTAAATGTTATGTGAATCATTTAGTAGAACTCAAAAGACATTTGTTACAATTCCTGTGGACACTGACAATCTAAAACAAAATTCAAACTTCCAGTTAATAGCTGAAAGAATAACAGCAAGATCTCATGTTTGGCAACATTTACCATATCCAATGATATAAAACATATTTTTTCTTCTTGGAGGAAACTTACAATTTCAACTACAGAAAGAAATATTCCTCCTTCTCAATGTTTGCCCAATTGAGAAAACACACTTCATGGGTATACTTATCATGATCCTTTAAGTAGAAATTCAGATTTCCCAGAATCAATTCAAACAATTCTTAGCTTTTGTCGGTTTAATACTGTACTTCTCTTTTCTCAGCCTGGTGACTTGTAATCTTAGAATTTTCCCCACTGTGAGGTTTTCTTTTCCTGGAGACATGTTCAGAAACCCTTCCAGCCTCATGTTAACTCACCACGAATTTGAGCTTTTCCATTTGTATGGGAGCTTCTACTGACAATCCTGCATTGTGAACCATTGTCATATTTTGGTTTCTGATGGTTTCCTCTTTCTCAGATCCAGAGAGACTCATTACACTGTCAGTGATACTGTCTAATAGCATTGCATGGCCTGTAACCTGATCTTTAGAATGGCTTCTTCTGCATTCATCCTTTTGCATCTAATTAGAAATGCTAACTAGCTATTATTGAGAACCCAACTTTTTTTCTTGAAATTAAATGGACACGTTAAAGCATAACTGTTTTCAATCTGACATTCTTAACACTTTTCTGAGACTTTGGAGACTAAATCTCAAATGTTAACACAGTTTGCAGCCATTGTCTCAAAGCACCTTCTTCCCAGGTAAAAAAAAATCTAAATCTTCTTTTGATCTCTAACAATCAAATTGGGCGGCACGGTGACTCAGTGGTTAGCACTGATGCCTCACAGCACCAGGGACCCTGGGTTCGATTCCAGCCTCGGACGACTGTCTGTGTGGAGTTTGCACATTCTCCCCGTGTCTGCGTGGGTTTCCTCCCACAGTCCAAAGATGTGCAGAGTAGGCGGATTGGCAGTGCTAAATTGCCCATAGTGCCCAAGGATGTTTAGATTAGGTGGGTTAGACACGGGAAGTTAGGGGTATGAATCTAGGTGGGATGCACTTCAGAGGGTGGTGTGGACTTGTTGGGCCATATGGCCTGTTTCCAC